GTGCGTATAGTTATTATGCAATCGAGGGGGTTAGGTATATAAGCTTCCAAGTTTATAAGGCTCAGATTGCATGTTTTGGCGCAATGAGTGTAATGATTTTAACCCTTTGCATATAATGTTCGCTTGTTTCTATTAATTTGATTATAATGAGCTTTTAAGTGAAATTCTCATAATCTTATAAGCGAGATTTCCTCTTTCTCACTCTTTGCGCGCACATTTTACACCTATATAGAAAAAAAGATTTCTTTGATTCAAAAAAAAAAAAAAATATTATTTTGACAAATTTTTATTTGATACAAAGAAAATTTATTTGTTTCAAAACAAATTATCTTTGATTCAAAAGAAAATTATCTTCGTTTCAAAAAAAATTTATTTAATTTAAATAAATATGTTTCTTTGAATCAAAAAAAAATTTTCTTTGAAACTAAAAAACTTTTTTTGTTTTAAAGAAAATTTTTATTTTATATGAAAGAAAACGAGTCAAAGAACAACAAATTAATTTAAATAATTAAATTTATTTACTATATTTACACTTTTATTGTATTTTACTTTTTGGCTTTTTATTGATAAATTAATTAAAAATAACTTTGGAGTTTCCCTATTACGTTTTCCTCTTAACCAAAATTTATTTTCCTGTCGATTTTATAAACATATATCTATATATACACTCTCAAAAAGATAAAATATATGATTATGCGGCGTTAAATTTGGTAACTGATTTAACAATACATTCATCGATGTTATTGAATATATCACGTTTTACTGACATTGTTTGATTCATTTTTAAAAATATTTCTACGATAATAATTTTCTTGTAATTATTATTAAATTTATTCTAAATAGAATTAACGTTAGTTGCGCAAAATTTTACGTAATTTTTTAACGTTACAATATACAATTTTACCAACTAATTTAATAAATTAATATTTTTATTAGAATTATTTTAACAAAAGAAAATTATTAAATGTAAATTTTAAAAAAATTTCTTTTTCATAAAAAAAAGAAAAATTTCTTCAGTTTTTTATATATATATATATATTTATATAAATTTCATTGTCAGATTAATTCTTGAGAAAGACAATGACAAAGAAAATATCAGTAACCGGATCATTGGGAGTTATATCAATCCGTGTGTGTATATAGCGCACATTATAGTGTTTTGTGGATCGCTCAGATAACAGTTTCCGATATACGAAATAAATCCTGCTTTTTATCGTGATTCGTTCTATCGGTGGTCGATAATGTCAAGTCGATAATATTTCGCTTCATGAAACACAAAGTAATTAACATCCAATCTACAATCTCTGCATTTCAAGTTCGTTTCCTTAATATTTAATCCAGATCTCAATTCTAATCAGATACTCTTTTTTTACTCTAATGTATTTTTCTTATATACATTTATAGCTATGAAAAATAATTATATTTTAATTATATATATTAATTATATAAAATTATATAAAATTATATAAAATTATATAAAATCATATAAAATTAGATTTTAATTATATATATAATACAAATATTAAAAATATAAGTGAAATTTATTTCACGTTTTATAGTAACCTCTAAAGTAGATCATCAGTTTACGAAAGTAAAATAACAAAAGAGGATTACGGAAGAAAAAATTTACCTAAAACAGTGAAAGGTTTCACTAGAATAGCGAAATATTTAACTGAAACAAGTAAAATTTTTACTACTATGAAACGTTTTGCTGTTCCAGGAAAATTTTTTTTTTTCATGATTAATTAAAAGTTTTAATTTATATTTGAATGTAGAAATTGTGGAAATGGTTTCTTAAGAAAACTAAATGTATAAGCACAAAAAAAAATATATATATAGTAAATTTAGACGCAAAATTTAGATTATTCCCTGTACTTGAATTTTGCTTATCTTATCTCATATATATTTAATTTTATATTAAGTAGTATATATCTACTGTTAAATGGATATTTTTATTATCAGTTTTATTAAGTACCCTTTGATAATTTTGTTTCTTATGGTCACCAGTAAACTATAAATAAAATAAAAATTTTTTTCTATATACTATATGACTGAAAAAAAATTTTATTTGATTCAAATAATTATACTTATGACTATTGTCAAATAAATATTTATTTGTATCAAATAATTATTACTTGAGTAAATTAAATCGTATATTTGTTTCAAGTATACAGAAATTATTGTTTCAAATACAATTTATTTAATTCAAACAAAAATAATTATTTGGCACAAATAAATATTTATTTGGTAATAGTCAACTAAACCGCGATTATTTGAATCAAATAATTTTTTTTTCAGTGTACACAATTTATTTTATCTTCATTACTAAAACGTATACGTTTTAGTAATGAACATATTTTTCAGACATAAATATATATATATATATATAGTATGTGTGCTGACGCGGTAAAAGTGACTTTAGAAGAAAAAAGTTGTAGGTTATGTTTACGACAGTTTTTTCTTGATTAAAAGTTTCTTTTGGCTTCTAGTAATATCAAAATCAATTTTTATTGATTATTTTAGATATAATGAAGATTTAAATATTATTTAGTTTCCATTAAGAGTTATAATATACTCTTTGTGTATCTTCACTTCAAAATTTTAAAACATAACCTATAATTTTTTTTCTTCTAAGGTCCCTTTCATCGTGTCAGTACACATATAATTTAATTTTTGACATGTAACTTAACTTAAAGTTTTAAAAAACTATTATTTTCTAAATATTAATTATTTTATACATTTCGCTTTTACTCTGAAATTTCAATTATAAAATCGGTATACAAAATAGAAATATCAGTGTAAAAACGGAATATGTAAAATAATTAAAATTTAGAAAATAATAATTTTTAAAAAATTTGAGTTAAATTTAAAATTAAAAAATTATTATTATTATTATTATTATTATGTATAAAGAGATAAAACTTTAAAACAGTTAAGTAATATAGTGATATAGATATTTACAATTAGTGAAAACTGATGATATACTTTATATAAATATATAATGTATATTATATATAGCAGAATGTGTAATGTAATAATTTTACAAGGGACAGGAAAACTATTTGCGATGTCTAAACAACAAAACCTAAACCTGATCATATATGCAAACTTTACTACATCAGCGATTGTAGCGCTTGACAGATAGAGAGCTGGCAAGCGGTTGTCACGTTTGATTTATGACCGCGAATGTATATATATATATATATATATATATATATATATATATATATATATATATATATATATATATATATATATATATATATATATACGGCTTCCAAGTATAAGCTTATAGGTATCATCTTCTCTTTGATCCACTTGAGTAACTTATCTACTGAATTTTTAGTTGACAAAATCTAGATTAGGACTATATTGGGATTTCTCTGGGAACAAATTGTTATATAAAACTATATATAACGCATCTTATAAAAGATATTAACGATATATATATATATATATATATATATATACGTATCTTATTACAAATTATATTCTTCAATTTTAATATTATAAATACGAATTTTAAAAAATTAAGTAGAATATTATTTATATAATAGAATTTAATAAATTTTTTAATGATTTAAATTAGTGGCAATATGGAAAATAAAAAAATTTACCTGAAACAGCAAAAAGTTTTACTAGAATAACGAAAGATTTTACCTGAAATAAGTAAAATTTTTGCTACTATAGTGAAATGTTTCGCTGTTCCAGGTAAATCATTTTTTCTCCATGAAGTATATAAAATTGGTATATTTTTAATTTTTTCTTTTGAATTATTGCTAATTTAAACAGTCAAATCTGCATTATCATTAATCGGTAAAACAGATTTAACTGTTCCAATCAAAATTCTACGAATTGAATAACAAAATTTCTACTGAAATTCAGTCAAAATTTTACTGAAAATCAATCGAATTATTGCCATATAATTTGTTAATTCTGCATTATCATTAATCGGTAAAACAGATTTGACTTTTCCAATCAGGATTCTACTAATTGAATCACTTTATTGTAAGATTTCCACTGAAATTCAGTCACAGTTCACTGAAAATCAAACTAATTATTGCTAACTAAAACAGTTAAATCTGCATTATCATTAATCGGTAAAACAGATTTAACTGTTCCAATCAAAATTCTACGAATTGAATAACAAAATTTCTACTGAAATTCAGTCAAATTTTACTGAAAATCAATCGAATTATTGGCATAATTTGTTAATTCTGCATTATCATTAATCGGTAAAACAGATTTGACTTTTCCAATCAGGATTCTACTAATTGAATCACTTTATTATAAGATTTCCACTGAAATTCAGTCACAGTTCACTGAAAATCAAACTAATTATTGCTAACTAAAACAGTTAAATCTGCATTATCATTAATCGGTAAAACAGATTTGATTATTTTAATCAGAATGTGACTAAATTTCAGTGGGAATCTTACTATATATAGTGATTCAATTATTAATATTATTCTGATTAAAACAGTCAAATCTGTTTTACCGATTAATAATGATGCAAATTTGTTTAATTAAGTAAAAAATGACTGAAAACCAATCGAATTATTACTTATGTATAGTCAAATTTACATTATTATTTAACGGTAAAATACATTTGATGACTGTTTCCAATTTTTTTTTTTTACTGAAACTCAGTCAAATTTTATTGAAAACTAATCTAATTGTTGCTAATTTTTCAAATCTGCATTATCATTAATCGGTAAAACAGATTTGACTGTTTCAATTAGAATATGTAACTAAATTTTACTCAAAATCTTACTGAAGTAATTCATTTGTCAAATTCCAACTCCAAAAAAATCTCACTGATATAAATTTAAAGACTTAATATATATCAAAGGATTTTGTATAATTGTAATATCACGGAAAACTTGCGTCTCGTAATAAAATTTATCAGAAGCAAATACAAAACTAATCTTATCATATATATACACAATATATCTATATACAAATATATATATATATACAATCATTTATTGTAAACTCACCAACGGGTTTAGGACAATTCCTTTTGACCTGCATCCACTTATACGTTGGTACATGACTCTGATGCTGCTGCTGCTGTTGTTGTTGTGGCTGTGTATGATGTGAATGTTGCTGGTGATGATGATGATGATGTGCATGACCATGAGAATGAAGATTATGTCCAGACTGTTGTAAATTATGATAACTCGGATCAGGACTCTCCTCTTTATAATGTCCCGTCGGATGAGAAGCATATTCACTCTGCCTAAGACTTGTTTGTCCATAATGTAAAGATTCTTCCGTGGGTGGCGGTGGTATCTGGTGAAGATAATTAGATGAGCCAATTGGAATTTGATAATCCTGCTCATGGTGATGACTAGATTGGTGATGATGATGATGATGATGATGTATTTGCTCATGATTAATGTGGGACACTACTGATCCCTGATGAATTGTTGATGCTCCATGATGTCGATGATCATCACGATAATTCGGTGGCTGTATATGATAGCCAGAATGTGGATCCGTTGGATGATGTTGCGCAGAGTAGGATGAAGATGGTGCATAATCCAATATTGTATAGCTAAGTCCATTTTCAGATGAGATAATTGCAGTGCCATCCTCATGTAATACGGCACCAGTTTGGGAATAAAAACTTTGAGGTGGCGTACTCGATGCACCTGAATCGGATGCTAAAAATGCATCAGAAGACGCTGATGAATAGGGACCAATGTCCGATTGTTGATAATGATGTGGCAATTCTGGAGATGAAGAAACTGACAAATGACCATTTTGATTATGATTTGAAAAACCATAATTTGGATATGAGTCAGTTGGCTTACCGTAAGTTCCGTACATACCCATGTCCATCATCATCATAATGACAGAACATTAAAATCGTTTATTCCAATTTTATTTTAGTAGCGCACTTATTATTGTCATGTCCGTAACTATACTGACACTTGAAGACATCAGGATTGGTAATAAAACGATATTGGTAGTCGAAGTAGAGTTTCACGTGCGACATGACATTGTTTCTTTTCTTATCAGACACGATAAGATTTGACATTGTTTCATGATGCACAGTATATATTGAGATTGATATATAGAGTCGATATATGGAATAAATTTTATTTTTTTTTTCGAATTTTAAAATAAAAAATTCGGTTCACTGTCACCAAAAAAAAAAAAATGCACACGAAGGAATTCGCTTCGATGTTACCGATAGGGATTTCAAAAATATACTGGCCGCGCGGAGGCGGCCGGTCAAGCGAGATTACACGCGCAGGTAACGCAGGTGAGACTGACCAGAGTTGTGCGCTGAGGCTTATAGGAAACTCTGCAAAATTGTTCAGGACTCCCCCTGCCGCAGGAAAGGATCCAGGTTTTCATTCTCCTTGGAGGCAGGACGAAAGGTGGAGTTTATTGAGGTCACGTGATATAAGTTGGGTGGAGTCAACCAATGAGGTATGAGTCTGCGCTACGGAGCTCATGTCAACATGATGGATCGGTGGCTGGATTCTATTTTCACTTCTTTTATCTCCCGTGCTGCAGTTGACACTTATCCTATATATGTATATATATATATACTCATATATCGGCACCACCTTCCATAACAACCCCAGAGGTCGTATATATATATATATATTTCGACCCTCCGCCTCCGGAATACCAACCCCGATTCAAAAGTGCCACATGCTTGTCACACCTGCCTGGGACCGTTTTAATTACGGATGACATTTGACGGTTTAATTAGCGGATCTTTGGTTACCATAATGGTAACGATGGGGAATTTATGTATATGTGTATAATATATATTTTGCTGACAAACGATGGCGTTAAAAACATGATAAGCAATTAAGTATTATAGATAAAAAAAACTTCAGTGACGCTCCACGGGAAAAGGGACCTTAACGGCAAAAAAAAATTTTAGGTTATGTTTATAGTGATAGTTTTAGCTTGATTGAACGTTTTTTTAAGTATATATATATATATACAGAAAAAATCTGAACTCAAAATAAAATAAATTCTTGACCTATAAATAATAATTTAATAAGAATAATTTTTATTTACAATATATATCAATTCAAAAATATTTTTATAATTTATTTTGTTGAGTGTCACCTCTTGATAATTTCATCTTAATTAAACAGAATTCAGTCAATGTTATAATATCCTGTCTTGAAAATGTAGGTTACATATTTCTATATATATATATATATATATATTAACATTCGTTATTCAAATGCAACAACTTTAACATACTGTCACTTGATGAAAGAAAAAGAAAAAAAAAACTTATACAATGTATAGTTGCATAATATATGTAATCTCGCGTGTCTCTCGTATAAATCGTTCAATTTAACTCATTTATAATGCTTGTAATTATTCAATATATTAATTTTATTAATGTATTTAAAAATAATTATCAAGTTTATTGCGATACAAAGATTATATTTTTTTTTAAAAAGAAAATTATAATAATAAAACATGGAAAAAAATTTCGCGATATATTTTACTAAAACAGCGAAAAGTTTTCGTTATTTTAAAGAAACATATCGCTGTACCAGATAAATATTTTTGTCTATATATGTATTATATATTATAATAATAATATAACACGGAAATTTTGTTTACCCTAAAACAGCTATATCTCTATATGAGAAAAAATATAAATGCGCTTATTATTTTCAGCATGTTGAGTTAGGAAAAACACCTTATTATAAAATTTTAATATACACAACAAAAAAAATTTTTTATCTGGAACAGCGACATCCCAGATAGCACGGAAACTTGCAGCATAAGCTTGCGGCAAGTTCACTGTGCAAGCTTGTCTGAGCTATAGCAAAATGTCCTACCCAGGGCAATAAGCTTCAATTCCCATCAGTCCCCTCAAATTTGTTTCGAAAATTTTCCTCATTAAGTTTCCAAATGAAAATAAACAGGACATAATTAATATAATAATAAACGTCACAAGGATTTTCAAATTTAAAAAAAAAAAACAAATAAATTTTTTTAAAATTTAAAATGTATTTTTTAAAAATTGCAGCAAGCTTGCAGCAAACTTTCCAGAAGCTTGTTGAAATTCTCCTGCAACTTTACGTAGCATAAGCTTACAGCAATCTTTCACGGCAAGCTTGCCGCAATCTTGTAGCAATCTTTCATGGCAAGATTGCAGCAACCTTTCTTTGAAAGCTTACAGCAAGCTTTCACGGCAAGCTTGCCCTGGGTGGGACATTTCGCTAGCTCAGACAAGCTTGCACGGTGAATTTGCCGCAAGCTTGCTGCAAGTTTCCGTGCTATATGGAATGTTTTTCTATATAGAGAAACAATACATAATTTTCAGCATGTTAAGTTAGGAAAAACACCTTATTATAAAATTTTAATATTTCACACGAAAAAGAAATTTTTATTCATGGAACAGCGTTGTCATCATTGGAGAATTTATCATTGAGGTAATTCATTAAAATATTCAAAAGACAATCGGGAGAAAAATATTTAAGAAATATTTAAGAGAGGAAAAGAGTGACATTTTTAACATTTAAGAGAGCAAGAGAGAGAGAGAGAGAGAGAGAGAGAGAGAGAGAGAGAGAGAGAGAGAGAGAGAGAGAGAGAGGACCCGTCGAGAGATAGTTTGAGATTGAAGAAGCCTCGGGGCCCGATCTTATATGTATATATATATATATATATATCGGCCGGTCGAAGGACGTGTGTGATGGGTCCATGGGATGCTGCTCCGAGTTTTAAGTTCACTGACAGAATGACACATTCCACATCGTGAGAGTTTGGGAGCGTATATATATGTATATATATATATATATATATATATAGCTCATCTCATATCAGTACAATTCAGTCAGAAGAACTTATATCGAGAGCGCCACCTGCGGGCCACCCGCGACATCAGTCCATGTCCATCTTCAACATCAACCCTTTTGATCTTGATCTTGATCGAGGTCTTCTGATATAATTCTCCTTCATCTCTTGGCTTCAACTCTTTTACAAACGTTTATCACATTATCACATTTTTATCATTATACAAAGATTATATTGGTCAACTCAAATTGACTACTGAATGGAAAAGAAAAAAATTTATTATATATTTTTTTTGTAGAATAAAATTAAATATTTTATTAATTCAGAGAAAAGTTAATTTAATATATATGGATGTAATTATTTAGGAAAAAAATAGGGTGAGATTTAATTGTAAAAAGCTGGACGAGAATGGTTATATATATATATATATATATATATATATATATGTAATATTATAGTGAGAGGTGAGGTCTGGCTGTCGGATTTTGGACAATGTAATTCATCATTTCATTAGGAACAGATTAAGAAATCAATAACATCATAATGTCGCTACATATATACCCCTTCCGACAATTAATTGGTCTTCCTTTTGATACTGATAGTAGTCCGTCATTACCTTTTTTCTAAATTGATCGACTTCTGTCAAGTACTGACAAATCCGTTTCTAATTTAACATAATATGATTCTCCAGAAACTGCGGTCATTTTTGAGGGAGGAAATTTCTTTTTTTTTTTTTTTTTTAAAGGTACTGAAAATTCGATTTCTTTTTTAAAAATAGAATTACTCAAATTTTGATTTGACAAAATTTGTTAGAATTATAATTAATTCCGTCAGAAACTTTTGGTATAGGGAATTTAAAAATTAAACAATCAGAAATTACGTAAATTTTGGTTAGTTAATTTTAAAATTCGCGCTCAAAAGTTTCAGACGGAAGTAATTTTGAATTATTATTATTATTATTTAATTATTAAAAGTAAAAAAAAATTTGAAATAAAAATGATTTTTTCCCAAAAAAAGAAATTGAAATCCAAAATAGAATGGATTTATGTTTACAAAACCCCAAACTCCTGTTTATGGAAGAGAGAAATTTTTTCGTCAAATGAAGTGGATGATTGGTGGATTATTATTTGTTATAATATTAGGGTTATGATGGAATTTTGAAAGATTATCCCTGGTAAATTTGAGTTTAGCCTGCGACTAGGTCTAATTCGGGATCAATATCAGCGAGTGTTTTCTTTTTTTTTTTTTTTTTTCTTCTTGAGACGTGTAAACTCCATGAGTTAATCCTCTTAAATAATTATAGACCAGTTGATCGGTTTGTAACTATCCTGTTATGGCGCCACGCTGAGTTTTGACATAGGATGAGGCACCTGCATTGTCATGCTGAGCCACACAAACTTCACGTCCAGCCTCTGCAGTTTCTTTTATATTCGCGCGCATATAACCCACCCATGGATCATCTCACTTGTATATATGTCTCTCTCTGCTATATAAGTGTCCAGAGGTCTCCTCTCTTCATTGCGTCTATTATTCCATTCTTTGATATGCTCTGTTTGCTTATCTATATATATATAGTAAAAGTCAATCCAATCGTATATATTTGATATTCTTTATATCAGCGTTAAATCGCTCTTTTTGTTTTATTTTCATCCGTTTGGTAGCATATGGATTTTTATTAATTTCATATTTCGTTGTAAAAAATAGAGTAATATTTGTCACGCTCTAAAGAAAAGAGAAGCTAGATAGCAGAAAATTATAGGTTATGTTTATGATAGTTTTTAGTGAAAATAGGTTATGTTTATGATAGTTTTGGCTGCTTTCGGAGTTCGCCCTGGGTTAACTCTATGTTAATTGTGATTGGTAGATCTAACAGAATGTTAATGATGATTGGACCATCGTTAACTCTGGGTTACCCCAGGGTGAAAACAGCCTTTGAGTGAAAATAGGTTATGTTTATGATAAAGTAAAATTAATACAAAAAGACAACTATATGAACCCAATATAAACGCAATATTTGTCACGCGCTCCAAAGAAATAATTCTTAAAAGCAAAAATTTGTAGGTTATGTTTATTTTTAAAGTGAAAATAGGTTATATATATATGATTACACTTCGGAGGTGTGAAACAGAATGAAAAGTTCAAGCCCAAGATAAAAAAATCGATTTTGATTTTTATCTACAAATAAAACTTTTAAAGAAACACAAATCTACATCATAAACATAACCTCTATATAATTTATTGCTTCTTCTTTCTTATTTTTCTACAGCAAAAGAGAAAACAAAAAATGTATATATAGAACAGTAATTTTATTTCGAAAAAATTAATTTTTATTGAAAAAATATTTCAAAATTGGTATTAATGTATATAAAATGTTTATGTTCGTGGGTGGTGGAAAAAAAATTAACATATCGATGAGAGGCGCTCGAAACGAGGCGGAGCACAAATGAGGTCTTTCTCTATCTCATGGGAGTTGATTTCTTTTTCCTAAATTCCAA